GAAATTGAACCTAGTTCCCCTTACTGCATGTAAAACAGATGAACTACAAAGACCCCCTGTGCAGCACAGGGACTCATCACCTTCTGTGTCTCACTCTCACCGTGGCGGTTAGTTCTGTCTCCCAATTCTCCTGTAATGATAAGCAGGATTAACCTGGGGGAAAAGATTACATATGACTTAATACATTCAGTTAAATAATATTAGAAGCTTTTTTTCTGAGCCCCCTTTACCCAAATACAGGCCATTCCTGGCTTGAGATTCCTGCCCCAGTCGTCTGTGAGTCAGCGCTCAGCGTGTGCCTTCCCTTGGAAACATGAGTGTCTTGACTTGCTCACCTGGGAGCTACCTGAAGCAGAGTACTAATGAGGTAGATAGATAGATTAGACAGACAGACAGACAGACAGAATCTAGCCACCATTTAGAACAGTTTTGATAAATACTGTCAAAATAATACTATTTGATATAGTACTATTATATCAATACTATCTGAAAATAGTGTTAGTTACTGTATTAATTATTTAATACTATTTTCAGGTAGTATTGTTTGGCATGCTAAGAACCTTCCCACAGGTTTCCTTCCCGTGGCCTAGGCAGCTGGTCTCTGGGACCTCACCTCCTCGCCCCCGCCTTGGAGGCAGGGGATCGTAGAGAGGATGGCAGGCTGCGCGGCGGCCTTCTCGTGGATCTTGGAGTGAGCGAACGTAGGGTGAGCAGGGAGTGGACTGTGGCGTGGACGTGAGGCTTAGGCACCGGTGGACGGACAGTGGGGTTACTGTAAGAGGACCGGGAGCCCACACCGTGAAAGGGAGCCCTGGGGATGGGGGGAGGGTGGGAGGTGCTGAGATGGGGTTTAATGAAGAAGGAGAGCGGCAGCTGCTTGTTTCTCCTCTTCTCCTGGGAGAGCGGAGCGGCAGGGGCTGCCGGGGCTCCTGTAGTGACCTGTCCTTCCATTTCTCCTTTTCTCAACCCCTTTATTTTATTCATCTTGTCATCGTTTTTCAGTTCTGTTTTCCTTTTCTTCCGCCTGCCAACCAGCGGCCCTGGGATGGCACGCTCAGTAAGCAGGGATGTTGTGGCAGTTTCAGAAGCGGGCTCTTGTTGGCATCTTTCTCATTTCTTCCCCCGTCTCTCCTTTCCCTACTCCCATTGACAGGTAGTAACAGGCGAGACTGGAGAGAACACAAGGTCTGAGGGATTTACAGGAGCAAGAACAAAAAGTAGAAAGAGAGGCTGGAGCAACTGTTCTTTGGGGATCCCTGAGAGAGTAACATGCCCTCTTCAGGAGAGTTTAAGTCCTAAAACACATGCCTGAATGTCTGCTTACTGCCATCAGTGCTCTCTGGTGGTCCGTTTCTAATGGTTTCGCCTAGCCAACAAGATTGAAAGAAGAGACTGTAGAATCAGTATGTTGATTTTGTGTGCAGATATTTCTGGTGTATTTGGTGATTGAGTTTATAGACATAGTCTGTACTGAACAAGATGCACGTTGAAATCTCAGTGTGGTGGAGGCAGCACCAAGACTGGTGTTGTTAGGCCCTGGCACTCCCTCCCTGGGTCTGTCCTCAGCTTCTCATCTGTGAAATGTGGCTCCAAGTACCTCCGAATTTTTAGGGAGCTTAAGTGCCTAATACATGATAGATACTCAGTAAATGTTGGTTCACTTCCTTGGTAGAAAATAATCCTTTGCTTAGATGATTAAAGCGTTAGACTCTGATTTTTTTGTCTAATTGGACTCTGGAGACATGTTCAGTTGGGGATTGATGATAGAGCCTTAGAACATTCTCCATTAAATGAATCAACAGAAAACACTCATCAGAAAGAGGTGCCTGATTCTAAGAACACAGTTAACATCCTTAAAATAATTTTAATCTAAACGTATATCTTTAAATAGGTACTATTTTATTAAACATGCAACATTAACTAAAACTTAAGTAAATGAAAAGTTACCAAGGGTTGCACCGCCAGAGCAAACTGTCTTTATTGTTCTGTTGCCCCTTCTAGCCTGGGTTGCTTGATTATGCTCTCCTTACAGTTTTACAAAGGCATTTGCTTTGTCTCTAGGTGTAAAACAAAGGTGTATCCAGATAACCTTCCTACAACAAGTGTGGTGATTGTTTTCCACAATGAGGCTTGGAGCACACTTCTGCGAACGGTCCATAGTGTCATTAACCGCTCACCAAGACACATGCTAGAAGAGATTGTTCTAGTAGATGATGCCAGTGAAAGAGGTAAATCTTACATTTTAATGCCAAAAATATGCTACACCTTTTGTCGTGAATGGTTAAAAATCTACTTGCTATCATTTTTAACCCAATAATTTTATACAAACTTTTAATTTATCCTAAAAGTTATTTTACATTTGGACTCATTGACATGTGCAAAAAATTAACACCCTTGTGAAACTTAAAATATTACTTTAATTAGCATTTAGTTTATGTCACATCTTAATCTTGTTTTAAAAAGAAATAATTCTATAAAAATGTATGCAGAACAGTGGGGGGTGAAGCACATAATTTTGTCAGGATTTTCTCTGTGGGAAGCTGCAGCCCTGAGTCAGTGGAGAAAGATTAGCTCCTACTTAGAGCCGTGAATAGCAGTGTTAGTTCCACGTCCAGGGGAAAGTGTCTGACAGCGCAGCGGAGCCTTGGCTGGGTGAGCTGCGGGTCCCCACGTTCTTCTCAGGTTTCCCCATTTTCTCCATTTCTAAGTCCGAGAATGGTCTGTAGCTAGGTGCATAAAAGGATGAAGAAGGAACTTTTGAAAAAGTGGAGTCTAGCATGACTCTGACCTCATAAAGATCCTCTGCAGTGACTTTCCCAGATACTCTTCCAAGAATCTCGGAATTTTTCACAGGCTTTTTTTTTTTTTTCAACCACAGCACAGCTATTTAGGGTCATTTGTGTTGTGTTTCCCCCAGTATAACTATACTCACATGAGAAAAATTCGGAGGGAACTACAGAAAATGGCTCTTCCTTCCTTAAGCAGCCTTAAACTTCGTGACCCATCATTTCAACCTTCTGGTTATTGTCTCCAGCTTTCTCATCTGATCTCTCATTGCATCTGCTAAGAAAGTTTAGCCAAGTATTATACCTTCTCCTTCCTGTGTCCACATTAAATATATACACTTAACCGTGATTAAAGTTAATCATTTCATATCTTAATTATTGGGAGTCATTTGCACATTAATAACAATTTAAATCTTAACTTTGCCGGGTTGTAGTGGTAGAAATGAGTAAGTTACAGCCCTACTGTCTCAAGCGCCTTGTAGCATACCTCCTTAATCTAATTAAGGAGATGGTTTATAATGACACAAAACATTTAATAATAGTATAACATACATTGTAATTAATGTCAAAATGAACAAGAACTGTTATAAATTAAGAATACCACATTTTAATAATACTGTTGACAACAGCAGTATAAACCTCATGTGGATAATTGTTTGCTAGGAGTTAATTAATCCCTCTTTAAAAATAACTAACTGAAGTTAATTTAAGCAATGATATATACAAACATCTACCCTGCAAGTGACTTGTGTTTGGTTTACTTACATGTTGATACTTGTTGAATTAAATATTCCTCAAGGAGAAATACTTTGCTTCAGATGAAATGTTTCTCCATTTCCCCCTTTGTTTTCTCCGTTATTTTGTTGAGTGCCTGAGAAGGCTATGTGAAATAGTTCATTTTTGTAGGATGTGGCCCAGTCAGAAAGACATGTGTGTGCTCAGCCTGAAGTGACGAAGAAAGTCACGCATCCCAGTTTATCTTTCTCCTTCCTCGTGCCGGCCCTCCCGAGTCCCCCAGCCTGCAGACGGCTGTAAGAGGAAGTGTGTGGTTAGGTGTCTGCCTCGCTACTCCCAAGGGGGCTCTCAGTCACTGGGCAGGGTCCCTGCCTGTCCCCCCAGAGCCCTGACCAGGGATCTGGCTCTCCCTTGTTTTCCTGCCTGGAGAGCCTTAGGTGCCTGGGTCACCACTGCTGATACTTGGGAACCACTGGGCATTGCGTTGTTGTGTTTATAACTGCAGTCTTGCTATCCAGATTGAGAATCATCCAATGTAGCTTTCTGTTTAGGTGGGGACTCTTGGGCCCAGGAACCAGAGCAAGCTCCTTAAGTCTGCTCTTTCCTGTCACGCGGCACGTCCAAGGCCCCATTCATTGTTTCTCACCTGGACTGATGGAAGGCTGCCTTGTCTCCCCACAGACACTCTCGCCCCCTCCCATCTGCTCACGCTGCACGCACAGTGAGCTTTTAAACATGCTGATCTGATCATGTCACTTCTGATTAAAACCTTTCCTCTGAGGCCAGCGTGACCAGCCTCTGCCCACATCTCCAGTCGCATCCGGAACCACTCCTTGCCTACCCCGTCCCCACAGTTCAGCTCAGCTGTACCCTCTGAATCAAGTTATATTCAAAGGGGCCTTCCTTGACCTCCCAAGACCAGGGCATTGCCTCTGAACACATCTCAGAACGCTCTGTACCCTCCCCAGCTCTCCCCGGAGACTTACCTGTTCACTGGTTTGTTTCATGACTGTCTCCCCTCACCCCGCCCCTCCAAGCAGACACTGCGGACTTCACCAGGACCGTTTGCTCACCATTAGCTCCTAAATGCCCACAGTGCCCATTACATAGCAGCAGATAGTCCAGAATTTATTCACTGAATGAGTGAAAAGTTAATGTACCAGTCACTTAATCCTTGTTTCTATTCCTTGTCTACACAAACTCCCTAACTAGGTTGTGTAGCAGGCAGCCTGCTCATGGCCTCGGGTGCTGGATTTCACAGTTAACTTGCTGAGTTGTCAGTAGCTCCATTTATTAAGTATGAAGTAGGTGCTATAATTATCCCTGTTTTATTGATGGAGCAAAATAAGGCTTAACATGGACCTCGGGCCTGACCTCTTGGCTGCAGTGTACTTCATGTCTGTTGTGACTTCACTGTTACAGCGTCTGTAATGAAGACGGAATCTGGATGAATCCCTAGTTTATGTCAGAAGTTACATAATCATCATCTCAGAAGAGTATCTTACTACTTAGAATTGATACAGTATTCTCAGTCTGAGATGACTATTATTTTTCTCATTTTATGCAACAGGAAACAAGTTCTCATTTAAGGAGGGATTAGGAGTCCGATTTATTACACTCTAAATTCCTTGCTCTTTCTACTGCTCTTTAGAGCTCTGGCTATTCTGGCTAACATTTCTCAGATGTTGCTGGGAGCAGTGAAATTTCCCTGACGTTCAGTCTCTGACAGCCTCACACTTTGTGATGGAGAGATGCCTAGGGACCCGCTTACAGACTGAGAGCTGCAAAGACAGTCTAAGAAACAAGATTCCCCCTTATTTTTAGATGACATAGTAGCTTCTGCCCATAGTCACTTAAACTGCCATGGCTTCATTTTTGTAAAATGAGGTTTGAATAAATAGATCCTAACCTCCCACCCAGTGCTGAGTCCATAATTCTGTATCAGCTGTTAGGAAGACTCCTGTTTTGTTTTTCTTTTCCTTTTTCTTTTTTATTGAAGCTGCAGTTGACTTACAGTGTTGTGTTATTTTCTGGTACATAGCATAGTGATTCAGTTATGCATATTTATTACAGATGTATCTTCTTCATATTCTTTTTCATTATACGTTATTACAAGCTACTGAATATAATTCCCCGTGCGAAACAGTAGGACCTTGTTGTTTATTTGTTTTATATATAGTAGTTTGTATCTGCTAATCCCAAACTCCTTTTATCCCTCACCCCCCACCCCGACCCTTTCCCCTTTGGTAACTGTAAATTTGTTTTCTGTGTCTGGGAAGACAGCTGTTTCTTACATTTATTGCATGAAAGCCACAAAGCTGTCAAAGAAAGATGCCAAGAAAATTTGTGGATTAGCAACTTTCTTGAGCCTACCAGACCAGAGAATCATGCATCTTTCATTTTAGTTACAGACAGGACAGAGTATTATGATTTTCAAAGATACAGGATTCAGGAATTCTGATTCTTAAGAAGCACTTTAAACTGTCTGATATTTCGGGAAAATTTATTGGGAGACACAGTGTTTATGACACAGCCAAAATTGACTGGCCTCAGGTATTAGAATGTATCTCATACCTGACCAGATGAGAGTCTGTCATACTCTGGACACAAAGGAATTTAAGTCTCTGTCAGGCCAGGTGATTCCGCAGTCCTGGATCGTCTTCTCAGTAGCTCTTCTCAGGTTTCTTGCTGTGGATGAAAAGATGAGCTTTGAAGTCAGACCTGGGCTTGGATCTTGGATCTACCCCCGTTAATAGGCTGTGTCATCTTGATCAGTTCATTGAATATTCTGAGCCTTATATTTTCGTGTCTAAAATGTGTGTGATAACAATCTCTTAGGGTTGTTATGAGGATTAAATGAAAAAAAAGTGTAAAGAATTTGGCGTTGTGCTAAACAGACCCAAAATAGTGAAATGTTGCTGTTTTCTGAGATCCGCACGGCCCTCGCCTTTTTACTCCGAATTGAGTTGTATCTTTCTGACCCTAAGATTTGGTTCATAAAATCTATGCGGTCAGGTAGGAGTTCTCCACATATTTTTCAGATACCCCTTCTAGCCCAGCTACATCAGGAAGTACATTAGCAGACATGGAAATAACCGTGGTTCTGGTGTGGTGGGACACAGGCCTTTTTCTTTCACAGTTTTCATGGCCCTGATTCTTCCATTATTGAACCAGTCTGGTCTTACCAGTTCAAGTGAGCAAGAACCATTTCACGCCTGTTTGTCTTTCCCTCTCCACTCTATATAGGAAGCCCTGTGGATTCCCACATTTAGTGTTTAATACTCAGACCCTGATCTCCATTATTCGGGTCCTGTGGTACAGAGCTGGTCATAGGAGTCCCCTTAGCTCCATGTCAAGTTTTTCCTCCTCTAGAGAGATTGTCTTTACACTGTTGAATGGGAGCTGTTTGGAAAGACATCTGACCGTACCACCATCAATAGCTTCTGTGGCATAAATACCACAAACTAACATGGTCTGAAAAATTCCTTCTCTTTGAGTAAACGGAACCTTTTCTGGTTTTTGAAGTCAGTTGTGTACTTTGGAGGCAGGAAATCCTCAGCTCAGGGGCACAGCATCTGTTGGAATCCTCCAGGACAGTGGCTTTCGTGATGAACTCATCCTCCCTTTCTCTTTTCCTCTTCACCTGTCCTTTCCTCTTAAAGCCCTTTTTACCTAGACCTGTCTGCTAGGGATCTCTGTTTGGCCTTACGGCTGCAGTCCAGCACTCCCTTCTGACTTGGTAAAAGAGCTATGCAGTCAAAGTCTGTGATCATCTGTGAGACAGTTCGTTTCTGCCTTTAAAGAAATCCCACAATTTTCTAAACTCTAACACCTATTGTGTCTTCTGTTCCTTCTCTCTATTGTGTTCTGGATTTAATTCTCTCAGACTGCTCTTTCTGTTCCTGATCATTAAGCACGATTAGCAAAAAGAACTGTGCCTGACAGAGAGTCGCTTAGAGAAGTGTGTTATCTTTGATTCAGCCTGAGCCCAAAGGTTCTCTCCTGATTCCTCATGTAATGAGGTAGAGGCAGTTCTGGTACATTCTCTCAGGAAGTACAAAGGCTTCCTGAGTGAAAAGGGTTTGTGAGTCAGGGAGCCTCACGGAAAGTGCTCAGTAAATATGTGTGGAATGAATATTGCAAATCAAAATTCTTTTACATCTGGATAATGCCAGGTCCCAGTTTTTTCATGTTATTTTTTATCGGTTTTGTTTTATTAATCTTTCAGACTTTTTGAAAAGACCTCTAGAGAGTTATGTGAAAAAATTAAAAGTACCAGTTCATGTAATTCGAATGGAGCAGCGTTCTGGATTGATCCGAGCTAGATTAAAAGGAGCTGCCGTGTCTAAGGGCCAAGTGATCACCTTTCTGGACGCGCACTGTGAGTGCACGGTGGGCTGGCTGGAGCCTCTCCTAGCCAGGATCAAACATGACAGGTAATTTTCTGGCGTCTGTAAGTTGTTTCCATTGCGTTTGTCCTAACCCATGGTAAGTTGCAAAATTCTGATCTCTAAATAAATACAAAGATAATTTCCCCTGAAGTTCTTTTTAAAAATACCTGTGAGGAGCACTCTAGACTAAACATGAAGAAGGCCAAGTTCTGAAGTCTAGAAGGAACGTCTGCAGGCAGTCTTGTTAATGAGGGTGGGTTAAGAGAGGAGGTGTTAGGACGCACACTGTACATTCTGTTCATTAAATGGGAGCAGAACACAAGGACAGTGAACTCAGGGAAGGGAGGATAAACCCTCGTCCCTGCTCTCTCGAGCTAACGCTGGGGCGGGCAGGGCAGCCCTTCTCTGTCTGCATCCTTACTGGGACTGCAGCTCTCAGCCCGGAGCACGAAGGAGCAGAAGGGGGCGGGGAGACACACGCTGCCTGCGGAAGTGTTTGGCTGCGTGAGGAGAAGCGCTGTGATCTCAGGTAACACAGGAGGAGCGTGCAGAGCAGGGCCATCCTCTCATGATGCACGGCTTCTGAAGGATGACCTGCTGCTGGGCCCTGGCTTAGCTCTTAGGTATCAGGAGGGAGCCGGACCTCAGTCTGCTAGACCCGTGCTAATTGAATTTCTGCTTCTCATTGCAGTGTGACCCAGAGGCTGTGGCTACTTAACATTAAGGTTTAGATTTCAGCAGCATAAACTTTTACTAGTCAAGTGGAGCAGAGTGGGACCTAAAGCCACTGCATCTGTTCTGTTTGTAAGCAAATGCTGGACCTACATCTCTCCCCTTTCAAAGAAGAATAAATAGAAAAAGCCAGCTTCGGGGCAGTGAGAAGATCTTTAGAAAGGAGCACATTGCCTGCAGAAGGAATAGGGTATCTCTGTGCGTTGTTCTCTGTGTGTAACAGATGACTGATTTCGGAAGTATTTGCTTTCTTAAAGACATCTTGTAACCTTTATGAAGCAGGAGCCTGGACCCACAGAGAGAAAGCAGTGTGAGGTGATGACAGAAATACGAAGGGAAATTGGCTGAAATAACAGCCATGACAACTTCCAGTTGGGCTGAATGGTAGATTAGGTGTCCTGAATAATTTTTCCAACTGAGAAAGCTAAATGCTGGATAAATAGAAGACACATTTTTAAATGCATCACTGAGTTGGCACCAAAGTAAGAAAGTTTGCAGACCTCAGCATGAGGTGCAGAGAAGTAAGCAGCGCAGACACTAACGCCAGCTTTCACTTGTGGGGCTCCTGCTGAGCTCGGGGAGCATGGCTTCTGCCTTGAAAGAAAAACGGATGGGAGGGTGGAGGCGAGGCCTGGGCCCTGCCTATGGTGGGAAGGCAGGTAGCAAACACCTGTATAAAGCGAGGCTCTCAGTGTCTGTACCTCCCTGTTAGTGAGAATGAGAAATGAATCCTACCATGCCAGAGAAAACTGGTACGGAGTGGAAGAGGGCGAACAGATTTCTGTCGAGAATTTGTAAGCAGAATGTAGAGAAAGGGGGAGCCCACTCCGCTCTTTTTATGAGACTAGTGTAACCTTGATACGCAATCAAAAAAGAGGTGCATGGAAAATTACAGACCCGCTCATGAATGCTAATACGGAAACCTCACACCACCAGCAAACGGTCCAACTGGGAGCGGGGGGAGCAATATATATATATATATATATATATCATATCATGTCATATCCTATATCAGTACATAAACAACATGTCATTACTAGTTGGTGTAATATTATGAAACCAGTTCACATAATATACCCCATTAATGTGTTTCTGAAACTGTGCTTAAAACCCTATCATTAAAACTCTGACCACTTTAATAGATACAGAAAAAAGTGTTCATTTATGATTAAAGTGAACATCAATTTATGATTAAAAATACTTAGTAAACTATTACAGAATGGAAATTTACTAATCTAAAAAAAGGATAGTTAAACCACCCCCCAAAACCACACACCTTACCTAGCAAACATCGTATTAATGGAGAAATGTTGAAAGTAATTTTTGAAAGATATGGCACAAGAGAAGGAGGCCCTGAATTATTACTGTTACTCAGTATTATTGGAAGTCTTCGACTCTGCAGTAATACAAGAAACAAGGTGTATAAGAATTGTAAAGGAAAATACAAGTGCTGTCAGTTGCAAATGATGTGTTTTTTATGAAGAAAAGTAATCTATACACAACATAGTAGAAAACAGTAAGAATTCAGCAATATTGACAAACGTAAGATCACCATAGAAAAGTCAATTGCCTTCTCCATAAGAGTTAGGAATAGGTAGAAAATATGTGAAAAGAAGAAAAGAAATGAAACCATTTATAATAGCAATGGAAATCATAGGCAGTAATTAGGAATATGTTTAACAAATGATGCATGAAATAGAAAACTGTTGAAATTCACTGGAAAGTAATCTGAGCAGAGAGAAGGGTAATGTTCATGGATAGAAAAGTCAATAGAAAAATGTCATTTCCCCCCACATTGATCTAAAAATTCAGTGCATTTCTAATTGAAATCTCAACAGAATTTTTGGAGAAACTGGCTGATTCTCACCTTTACA